CTTATATTCGGAGGTTTACGGTATTCAGTTTGGTGTGCAAATTTGTTCGATTAATGAATATATGTTGATGCAATTGTATATTGAGAATGGTATACAAATGTAAAGTAGGCTGCAGACCTGTAGTACAAAGGATGATTTGCATTCATTGTTTGTAGAACTACAGGTGATGGTAATTGCCTATACAATGCTTGTTCAATTGCGTTATGCGGTAGTGAAGAACTTGCTGTCCACTTGCGTTGCCTTACCAGCATTAAACTCTTTGTGAATGCTTCATTTTATGCTTCACATCCGATTTATGAGCAGCAGCATAACAAAGGCGCATTCTCCTGCCCTTCGAACGCTTTTGCAATGTGTTTATCTGATATTGCTTTGAATGCACTTCAGAAAGATGATCCATCTACAGCAGTCATAGGAGAGACTTTTAACAGCTCAATCATCAGTGGAATTCCTTTTTATGTTTGCTTTCATTATCCAGTGTCTTGAAACTCCCTATTGAGTCCTATTTTCCAACTCTAGTTAACAGCAGTACTTCGAAAGATTCCCTTTCTTTCATGTTTAACTGTACCATTCTTCCTCGGGAGTCAAGTAATATTTCTTTTGTTGAGAAGCTTCATATATTCAGATGCGCTTGGATGCCAATTAATTACACTGAAACTATGAAAATACCGGATACAAAAACCACTATGTTCCTCTTTGTATTCCCAAAAAAGACAGCAGTCAATCGGTCAAGGCTGAAAGCTTTGTTTTGGAGCCCCTTTTTTCATTCAGTTTCTTTAATACTGTCAAACTGATGAAAAGGTCCACTAAGAAAACCCGACGTCGTCTACTTCTTCCTCTTTTGGCAAAACCAAACTGAAGCAAGTGATACTCGACTATATCTTTCCAAGGAAAAGAAAAGTAGAGGAAACAAGTCCAAAAAAAGGAAAATAGCAGAAACGACCAAAACCGAGAACGAAGAAAGGTTGCAACGATAGTTTGCTACAGTCATAACAACAGCAGCAGTTGAAAAGACGGAGATGAAATCACTTGAAACCAAAGAAAGAAATAAAGTAGGAAATCCAAATGACATTGGCAACTATATTAATAAAGCAACTTTCACAAAAGAGAAGTACCATCTTTTACGTAACGTTTGGAAGCCACATGCTTCGTATAAGTTCCCTACGAATGAAAGTAAGAGAAGATTCCGCTACAAATGGTTCAGAATATTTCCATGGTTGGTATACTCAGTTGATGGAGCGTTTTGCATGAATTGTGTTTTGTTTGGCTAAGTATTGGTACCCAAAATTCCACCAAACTTCAACGGCTATATAAGTTACCTTTTAATGCTTGGAAAGTGGCTCCAGTAAGATTCTGTGAACATTCTGAAAAGTCAGAACTTCATAAAACAGCCACAACTCGAGCTGCCATGTTTCGTTCGTTTATGGAAAAGAAGACAACCCTTGTTGATTGTCATGCTTGATGACCTAAAGAAACAACAGATAGAGGAGAACAGGAAATTACTTTGTCCCATTATCAATGCTATTGTTCTTTGTGGAAGGCAGAATATTCCACTTCAAGCTCACAGGGATGACTCTCAGTATTACCTTTCCAATGACGTAAATCCTGGTAATTTTATAGAAATCTTAAAGTATGGCGTAACTTGCACTAGGCAGTCTTTGGAAGAATACTTCAAGAGCACCCCAAAGAATATAACGTATAAGTCGAAAACAACTCAAAATAATTGCGATGATTTAATTACTCGAAAGATGACTAATGAGATTAGAGAAGCTAAATTTTTTTCTATATTGGTAGATGAAGCATCAGATTGTGGAAACATTGAACAGCTTAGCATCGTTGTTCGGTTTGTCGACAAGAAACATCAAATAAGAGAAGAGTTTCTTGGCTTTGTTTCATTTAAGACAGGTGTGTCGGGCGAAACAGTAGCTAATACGATTCAAGAGTTTCTAGGTGATCCAATTTATCTATTGACGACTGTCATGGTCAAGGTTACGATGGAGCTGGAAACATGGCTGGAAAAAAATCTGGAGTAGCAGCATGAATCCCACAAATTAACAAGAAAGATTTCTATGTTCATTGCAATTCCCACATGTTAAACCTTTGCATTACTGCCTGTTGTAAGGAACAACTCGTGAGTAAGATGATGGAACATGTCCGTGTTGTTTCTGAATTTTTCAACTTTTCCCTGAAGCGGTTTGCTTTGTTGGTCAAGACTATCGAAGAAATGTTACCTGAATCAAGTCATAAACGTCTAATCAACATTTGCAAAACCAGATGGGTGGCAAGAAGTTTGTCTGCTTTCATTGACGTTTTCCCAGCTGTTATCAGATGCTTTGAAATAATTCGTGACAACATTAACAAAACTTGGAATCCCGAGTCTGTCCAGAAAGCTGGTTATTTGTACTTGCATAGTGTTTAGTTTCCGTTCATTGTAATTCCTGTCACTGTTTCAAGATGTCTTGAGGTGACTCGTCCGCTCACTGTTCAACTGCAAGAGAAGGCTATTGATGCCGATGCAGCTGGAAAAAAGGTCTTGTCTGTACGTTCATCTAGAGAATGTTAGAAATGAAGTGGATACCAAGCATGACTTATGGTTCGAAGAAGCAGAATCTGTTGCAGAAGGCGTAGGGACCTTGCCGGAAAAGACCAGTATAGCATCTAAGCAACAACACCGCGCGAACACACCAGCTGACACGCCGTCAGATTACTATCGGAGAGTAGTAACAATTCCTTTTCTGGATCATCTGAAGTCACAAATCAAAAACTTGCTTTACCGCAGATAACTTGAATGTTCTAGATGCAGCTTACGGTTTACCAAGGAATATTCTGATGTATCCTGACTGGAAAACAAAATTTTCTAAATTCCTCAAAATAGACAAGGATGGCCTGCCTCAACCTCGTTTCCTTGCCACAGAAATGGAGATGTGGAGTGAGTGATGCCGAATGGAGAAAGGCCCCCTGCTAACCAAACTCGTTGATGTTTTGCCATTTGTTGATGAAATTAGTTTTCTAAATATTTATACGGCTTTTCAAATTTTTGCAACAATCCCAGTCACCACTTGTTCGTGCAAAAGGTCTATCTCTGCACTACGGCGATTGAAAACATCTACGCAGCACCATGTCAGAGTCGCGACTCAGAGGCCTAGCCTTACTTAACGTCCACTGTGAAATTCACTTGGATACTGAACACATAATAGACAAATTTGCTACATGTAATCCACGATGAATGATGCTAAAACTGTTTTGAACAAAACCTCACAGCGCTGGTTATAATATAAGCAAACACACTGTGAAAGGTAACAAGTTGTAGACTCACGATATGAGCTATTAAAAACAACAAAAAGACACAGTTTTCAAGATGAAATTTCGACTTTATTCCATAATCATTGTTAGGTAAACTTTGACAATGATTTTTAATTAGAGACGAAATATCTCCTTAAATTTTGTGTCTTGTTTTAGTAGCTCTCATATTGTGAGTTCACAAGATGTTGTTATTTGAAGTGTGTTTTATATTATATTATCTTGTATATTATCTTACAAAGATTATTGCACGGGGACATTTATCGGAAATAATCCATCCTACAATGTGTTTTCCGAACTCCGTCGTGCTGCTGTTTCAAGATGATTTACAGTGAACTTTTATTTAACTACCTTTGTGCTGCTGTTTCAAGATGATTTACAGTGAACATTTATTTAACTACCTTCGTGCTGCTGTTTCGTGATTAATTGCTTTTTCTTTTGTTATGCATTGTTTTAATTAGGCACGGAGGTGAAAATATGCGATTTTGACTAACATTTTTGATCGGCCTCGTACATGCTTATTTTTTCTCCACTTGGTATGAAAAGCATGTCATTCAATAGCTAAAAGCCTGATCTTTCCAAATATGAAAACCAATTGTTCATACGCCGAGCGATTCACGTATAATAGCGCCCTAAAGTTCGATTACTTTTTTTTATACACCCTGTACAGTAAAACAAAATGAGTTTTTAGATTCTAATGTAGAGAGTCTAATATTATAGTACCATATTATTTTTCAATCCTGTATAATCATATAATGATTTAGGTACAATTACATACTAAATAGTAAAACATACTAAATAGTAAAATATACTAGAAGTTACTATCGCAAGGGAAGTGCTGCCTTACGACCAAAGCCCGGGGGATTGATTATACAAATAAACTTCATTTATTTAAATTGCCTTATACACACTGTATGAATGAATTTATTTTGTTCAAAAAAGTATCGAAATTACAACATGCAATAATTACTAGATACTGTAAAGTGTACTTTGGAATTTTATATTTATACAATATCAATAAAAATCATTACTTACACCCGTATTCTAAAAGCTCACTCACACTCAATGAGTGGAGGTTCAATCTGAGCTTTTCTTGTGTGTCAATGCTGTTTTTGAATACCTGGAGGGTTAGGGTCGTAACTTACTATGTGTCTACTCACCCTACAGCTATTCAAAAACAGCATCGAGACTTGAGAGAAGCTCAGATTGAACCTCCACTCATTGAGGTGCAGGCTATGCAGTGACATGCAGGCCTTTTAGAATACATGCAGGCGTCTTTACTTGTGAAAATGACAATAATTAGGAAGAACAAATAGATGTCTTCTAACATGGTACGATTAAGTTTGTTGCAAGTAATGATGGTCTTTTGTTTGTTTTCATTTTGTAAACAAGTGTTACCATTGTTTTTTGTCCAATATGTAGATTATCGTATTCATTTACAATGGTGCCTAAATTACTTTGAATTTGGACCCAGGGCAAATTTTTATTTTGGGCCCCCTATTTTTCCCAAAAATGTTGGGGGGGGGGGATTACAAAAATTTTTTTGGACATTAAAAAAGGGTCAAAAAAATTTCCTGACAAATTCCTGTTAGAACATGGATACAACCCTTTTTTCGGACCAATATCTGTAAAATTTAGGTCTAGAAATTTTTTGTAATACATTATTTATATCAAAAAAACATTACAAATTTTTTTAAAATTTTGCAAATTTTGGGCCCCCTTAAACTGGGGGCCCAGGGCAAATTGCCCCCCCCCCCCCCTCCGAAAGGCCCTGATAATTTTTGTGCAATAACTTGTTAGGTTGCTGTACATATGTGGGTTTGTAATATCATGACATACAATGTTGACATCCATATGGTACATGGCATATTCCATCCCAAATGTTGCATTAGATGTAATATATCCATACAATCATGTAAATCAGCATTCTTGTTTTAATAGGAATACAATTCTGATAATCCAGAAGTTCCCATCCTATTACATGTGATGTAATATATACATATTATATTTTGACTGTAACAACAACCATTTGGTTTCATGCAGCAGTTAACATGACACCATTCACATCTTTCAGAATTGGAAAACTATAGAAAAAAAAATAATTGGTAGCATGAGATATTAGGTACCACAGAATAGGCAATTCCAGCTTTTGGTTTATGTGTGCAGGGCGGGATGGGAAGTAAAGTATCATATTGCTGATTTGCCGATTATTGCCTATTGTGCTCTAACCCAATGGATAGATCAGTGTTACTTTTTGCCACAGTGGGCAGATCAGTGATACTTTTTGCCTCAACAGGTTCTACCACAATGGGTAGTTCAATGTTATTTTGTGCATCAATGGGCTCTACCACAATGAGTAGTCAAATGTTATTTTGTGCCTTGATGGGTTCTACTACAACGGGCAGATCAGTGACAATGTTATTTTGTGCCTTAATGGGCTCTAGCTCCACAATGGGCAGATCAATGTTATTTTGTGCCTCAATGGGCTCTAGCTCCACAATGGGTAATCAAATGATATTTTGTGCCTTAATGGGCTCCAGAATGGTTAGACTGTTATTATTTTGTCCTACCACAATGGGTAGACTGTTATTGTTCTGATTCGAAATAGTAAAAAACACTATTACTGTACATGTTTTGAAAACAATTTAAATAATATAAAAAAGACATGGACTGGTATTAATAGTTTAATAAATAGCAAACAAAAAAATATACAAGCGCATCATGTCATTTGTTCAAAGTAAGAATATTCTTTATCATTCACAATATGGTTTTTGAAAAAAAACCTACAGAACATGCAATTCTTAATATTATAAATAAAATACAAGAAAACATGGACAATGAACGTTTTACCTGTGGTATCTTCATTGATCTTCAAAAAGCGTTTGACACAGTTGATCACTCAATTCTGTTACATAAACTATATTACTATGGATTTAGAGGTATAATCCAAGATTGGTTTTCCTCATATTTAATAAATCGTGTCCAAAGTACACACGTTGGTACAAATATTTCAAATAAGGAAATAAACTTATGTGGGGTACCACAAGGATCAGTACTTGGACCCTTACTTTTTCTAATCTGTGTCAATGACATATATCAGTCCTCTAATAAATTTAGCTTCCATTTGTTTGCTGATGACACTAACTTAATTTATTCTGATAAAAATCCCAAAACTCTTGAAAGTGTAGTAAATGAAGAATTATTCAAAGTTTATGATTGGTTAAATGCAAATAAATTAACTCTGAATATAAAAAAAATCAAACTTTGTTATTTTCCACCTTCCTCAAAAAAAGTTAAATTATCAAATAAATATGAAAATATTTTACAAAAAAGACAAATACATATCTCTTGAATGCGCAAGGACTATGTCAAATACCTAGGCATTTTACTTGATGCTAACTTATCTTGGAAAGATCATATTAGTTACAATTGGGGTAATCGCCAGGCTTCGGCATTTAGTGCCTTTTGAAACCCTGACAAAAATCTATCGTTCTTTGATATATCCTTATTAGTGCAAAGTGAAGAATTCACTTTGCAACTATTGCGGTTAGGGAAAAATTCAATTGAGACAGGTATGGTGTAAACAATCGGGG